CCCTCCACCGTCCGATCCATTTTGGATCTCACGCCGGAGAGTTTTGGGGTGACTTAGCTCTAAGTCCTCCACCGCCCAAGTAGTATTTTTTTTAATGCCGTACCAGTAGGCATAAACCTTAGGTAAACTTGTGCTTACTTTGGACTGTACCCTCCTCATCCTCTGGGGGAGGTAGAGGGGGGGGGAGGGCGCATGGCCTCGATTTTTTCAGGGGGGGTTCGGGTACGGGTTGGCGGTCGGTTCTATGTGTACTGCATTCTCGAATTGTCCCTCACTATAAGCTGCTGTGGATTTTCAGTATACAGCTATCCTCACTCAACGCGTCTATGTGTCCGACAATCTCCAATACAAATCAACCTGCGAGGTTTCAGTATGCAGCTTGCGTCACTCAATGCGTCTTTGTGTCCGGCAGTCGCAAACGCCACTCAACCCGTTGGGTCTCAAGATGCAGCTATCCTCACTCAGCGCGTCAATGTGTCTGGCACTATCCAACATCACTCAACTCGTGAGATTTCAGTATGTAGCTATCCCCACTCAGCGCGTCTATGTGTCTGGCAAACTCAAGAACCAATCCATCTGTGAGGTTTCAGTATGCAGCTATCCTCACTCAACATCCATGTGTCCGGCAATCTCCATCACAAATCACCTGTGAGGTTCAGTGTTTGTCTATCCTCACTCAAAGTGTCTATGTGTCCGGCACTCCAACATCACTCAACCCGTGGGATTTCAGTATACATCTATCCCCACTCAACGCGTTATGTGTCTGGCAATCTCAAACCTCACTCAACCCTTGAGGTTTCAGTAAACAGCTATAATCACTCAAGTCGTCCATGTGTCCGGCAATCTCATACATTACTCAACCTGTGAGGTTCCGTAGACAGCTATCCTCACTCCACTCGTCCATGCGTCACGTGTCTTTGGTTGCGCATACTATGGGGGCTATATTTGGGGTGGCGTGTTTTACAGCGTTTTGCCAACAGCGCCAACCCACTTACGTCTAGCGGCGAGGGCGGTAAGCCGGGGGGAGGGGGGGGGGGGGGAC